TGTCTTGCTCAGTACTACAGCTACTGTAGGTCGGTACTGGTAAGTTGCCATACCGGTGCCGTAACGCAGTGAAATTGACTTATTCCTTCCGCGGTATTACTAATGCTGCAATGCAAGTTTTATAGCCTATCGTATGCGGAACGGAATATCAGACCTACAGGTTCGGTACCGGTACTGGTAGCTCAGTACGTAAGTACGATACTGGTGCCGGTACCGGTGTCTTACCACAATGAAATTACCGTAACTTCTTAACTTATTCTTTCACGGTCCTACCAGTGCAGTGATGCAAGCGTTGTAGCCTAGTATATTTGTTTATTTTGATGAGAGTCTACTGGAAACAACATAAAATTTGAAAGGGAAGAATTGTTCTGTGATCAATTATCTGTCCTAAAGTGTAAACAACATAAAATTTGCAAGGGAACAACTGTTCTGTGATCAATTACCGTATATGGCCTACAGTGTATAGGTAAGATGCTGCCTGACTGCTAACTCAGTACCGCTTGACACGTTTTTAAAAAGTCGCTTTTCTCTTCGAATACTGGACCAATTGCTTTGAAATTTTTAGTGGTTAAAGATAAAAATTTTCTCCAGATGGCTACTACTTCTTTTTTCGCTATGACGTCATCAAAATTATGTGACTTTACGTGTCCATATATTTGAGCATAGCTATCTTGTATTGTTTGTTTTCGGAAGCATGGACTTGGTGGTGGAGGAAGCCGTAACCGACCAGCGGTTACGTGAACCCCCCAACGACGGCGAGGAGTCCAGCAATCCTCTCGCACATAACCCTCCCTGCATGGGATTCGAACCTGCGAACCCACGCAGAGTAATTAGAGGTGCGGTGGCGAGCGTATTCCTAACGCTTAGCCCGTTGAGCCACACCACTGCGCCGGACTAGAGTGGTATTTCAAAATCTTCGATGCTTTGATAAGCATTTGCATGGTAAATGCACATATTCTGTATAGTGGAGTCCGGAACGATGGAAAAATAAAACTTTTAAATAGCAACGGAAGCAACAACTATGATTGCACCTTTGTCTGTGTGCATTACGTTGACACATTCATGTCTCAAAGCTGTAGAGCCAGGATAAAATTTAGCAACTCTTCCGAATTGACTCTATACTTTTTCCATTTCTTGAATGTCAGTACATTTTAGCAGTCATTTGAACAAATGAATATTAGTTATTTTTGCAATAAAAATTTTCAAAATAATAAAATGTTAAATATGTAGAAGCCTGTGGCCCAGAACTTGCCAGGAATAGGTTTTCCGCTGAAGTGTGTTCATTTCGTCTGTTTTAACTCTAAGTAGAATGTGGGTTCTATAATTTAAGTCTGTTTGTTATTACGCTGAGGTTTTAGGAAAAAAATATTAGATTCAATTGGTGTTGTAAACCAGGGTCGTCCAACTCGTGGCCCGCGGGCCATATGTAGAAGCATTTCTAGGTGTTTGCAAAAATAGCCTATCCAGACAGACCATAACTCGTCGTGTTGAAGAGCTTGTGAATTCTATTGCAGGAATTTTAATTGCAAAAGCGGGAAATTTTTTATTGTATTCCTTGGCGCTTGACGAAGCGCTGACATTAGGTTTACTGCTCAGTTGATGACTTGCTATCTTCTTGCGGGTAGTTAGTCATGATATAAAATTACCGTGGAAACCGCAGCCATTGCTCCTGTTAAGGGTACGACTAGAGGCATTGATTTTTTGAGAGTTGTGATGAAAATGATCAAGCGTCTTGTCTTGTCTTAGGCTATACTTTCGGGAATAACCACTGATGGCGCCCCGTCAATGGTTGGAAAACAATAGTTTTATTGTTCTAATAATTGTGAAAGTTTAATGTGAGGGTATTTTTTTTAATATTAACCTGTAGTAGTGTAGCAAAACTCAATCGTAACTACCATGTCAAGTGGCCCGCGCAATTATTAATGAATTACATGTAGCCCTTCGACCAAAATGGTGGGCCGACCCTGTTGTAGACTATACCAGTAGTGGGAAGCATTCTATTTACGATAAATTGTTATTATTTTGATATTTCGGGTATTGCGCGTCAGCACTTCTGCCGCCCAGCTTGTTTTGCATCGGCTAAATCAACAAAATACATCAAAAATCGACTTTGCAAAGACAGCAAATTACAACAAAATTGGGTTCGCGTTGTCATCGCCATGGACCTTCCCCGACATCAAAACATCCGTATTCTCAACCAATCACAAGCGAGCGGATGTAAACAAACATTCTCCGCTGAAAAGTCGCTCAAACCACTTTGGACGCGTTCCGCACAGGTTGCTGGCGGTTTAGGCAGATCTTTGTCCTTTTTTTCGCTTTTTGTTTTCTTCACAGGGCTGCAATAATTAGAAAGCTGTAATACTGTATGTTACTTGTTGCAAATCACGTTTTCGAAATCTGTATATCTATACTAAAAGGCTGTACCCGTTGCATGCACCTTACAGGTACGGTACTGTACAGGTCAACCAACTGCTATTTCGAACCAAAAAATAGTAGACAGTTACCGGTATGCTGATGCAATCAAGAGTACCGGTAGCCTACCGTATGTCTGTAGTGTCTCGCCTCTATCTTCAATGTTCTTTATCTCGCTAAGCTTTCCCCAAGGCAACACACGATATTTGCACACAAAATAAGAGGCTTTTACTGCTACAATTCAGTATGCACAAAAGTAACTGATACAACTTAATAAACAGCGAATAACACCATACAATATAACCAGCACCAGCCACGTCGTCAATGTCCTTTTGCTCCCCTTGACATATATCCTTGCGCATTTATATCGCGCAGGACTAAATCAATCATGCAATTCATGACCATCGAACCATGAACACTACTTCCCTCCTTTTGTTACGAGTAGATGGTAAACTAGACTTATTTCATTACAAAGTCTTTAAATCTGGAAGGCAGTTTTCGTTCTCGCCTTGGACGCTCATAAGGCTGAGTAATTGATTCCTCCGAATTTGGCCTGGTCGCGTTTGGAGCAATTTGCGACTCTGTGGCTTTATTGTCAATTTCATTCTGGGCATATTTCTTTACAAATGTTGAATTGCGACAAAATTCTTTCCCAATTTCATCTCTGACTGTGACTTCCCCTCCTTCCTTCTTGACGACTTCACACGGAAATTTATTGAAGTTTGTCGACATCTTGTCAACTTTCTCTTGCTTAACGAGCACCGAATCTCCGACCTCAACATCTTGTAAAATTGATCTTCTGTTGTAATCTGAGTACAATTTCCCTTGTAGCTTGTTTCTCCAGTCTCTGTCTTCTTCGCCGATTATGTTGTACTTTGGGCTGATTTCTGGAAGCTTTGTTCTCATCTCTCGACCAAACATCAAATAATATGGCGATACTCCTGTCGTTGTATGCGGTGTAGACCTGTATGCAAGTAGAAATTTGTTTAATTCAGATTTCCAATCTTTACCTTCTACTTGAGCTATTCGTATGGCTTTCATTAAACTTCGGTTTTGTCTCTCCACCTCGCCGTTCGCTTGTGGCCACAATGGAGTAGTAGATTTATGTTAAATTCCATGTTCGCCTAAAAATGATTTGAATTCATTAGATACAAGCTGTGGTGCATTGTCAGTTCTTAACGTAAGTGGAATTCCGTAACATGAGAATATGGTGCTCAACGCTTCAATTATTTTCTTACTTGTTGTCGACCGCACAATTACAATTTCAGAAAAACGACTGTAGTAATCTACAATTACCAGTATGTTATCACCAGAAGGCAAAGGTCCTAAAACATCGGCTATCCAAGGTCCACTGGGTGGTCGTGTTCGCGTCATTGGTTCAGGCGGACTATACGAACTTGTTACCTGACATCCATTACATTTTCGTTCAGCATCACGATCAATGTTTGGCCACCACACTTTACTTCGAAGTCTATTTTTCGTCTTCACAATTCCTTGGTGTTCTTCATGTGCAAGCTCTAGAACACGTTTTCTGAGTATTTGTGGAATTACAATTCTCGTACCACGTAAAATTAATTGACCATAAATACAAAGTTCATTCTTCACATGCAAAAATAAATTACCACACTTTGACCAATTCTGTGATTCAATGCAATCTCTCACAATTTGCAATTCAGGGTCTTTAGCAGATGCCTGCTCAATTTCATGTGGCGTCAAAGCAATCGGGCAACTACTTTGCACAACCATTCGTATGAAGAAATCATATTCCGCTGTTCTATCACGCTGGCCAGGCGCATTAATACGAGATAATACATCAGCAATATTATTCTTACCCGGTCGGTATATTACCTTGAAGTCATACGCTTGCAATCGCAATACCCATCGTTCAATCCTTGCTGAGGGCTTTGAAGTTTTAGAGTATATGCATTCCAAAGGTTTGTGATCGGTTTCAAGTTCAAATTTCCTGCCAAAAATATACAAGTCAAATCTCTCACATGCCCACACTATAGCTAAAGCTTCCTTTTTCGTCTTTCTACGTCTTGGATCCTAGTCCTGTCGGTGAAGCATCTGCAATTATTCTTGTCCTGCAGTCAGATCTGAAATAAGCTAATGTGTTTGCATTAGTTAATGAACGTCTCAATCTTTCGAATGAATCCTCACACTGCTTATCCCAATCAAATTTAGAATTTTTCTTAGTCAATGCACGAAAAGGCGCTGCAATCGAAGAAAGGTTTGGTATAAACTTTGCACAATATGGAACAAGACCCATAAAAGATTTTACTTCTCTGGCATCTTTTGGTCGTCGTGCATTTCTTACTGCCGCCACCTTTTCCTCACAAGGATCAATACCTTGAATTGTGAGCTTGTGACCAAAAAACTTGATCTCAGGAAGTCGAAATTGACATTTCATACCATTCAGCGTTAGACCGGCTTTGTCCAACTTATCAAGAACATCAAATAATCTTTCATCATGTTCCTTCACATTCCGCCCATGGATAATGATATCGTCCGCTATGTTTGCGATACCCCGACAGTTCCTCACAACGTCTCTGATTATTTGCTGATACTTTTCTGGTGCAGATGATAAACCAAACATAAGTCTTTTGTATCTAAAAATTCCAATTATTAGTTACGAACGTTGTGATATATCGGCATCTCTCATCAAGCAATATTTGATGAAACCCCCATTTCAGATCTAACTTCGAAAATACGGCGCTTCCGCTCAAGTCGTGGAGTAAGTCTTCAACAGTCGGTATAGGTTGTCTTTCACGGAGTATGGCTTGGTTAGCTCGGCGCATGTCAACACAAATTCTAATATCTCCATCCTTTTTATGATCTACAGTTAAAGGCGAAATCCAGGTACTTGGACCTTCAGGCGCTTTTTCGATTATGTCTGCTTTCAGTATTTCATCTATTTTTGCATCTACTTTGTCTCGCAACGCATATGGTATACGGCGCAGAGGTTGAGCAATTGGTTTAACAGTTCTGTCAATATTCAAAGTCAATTTGTAATCTTTTAAAAGGCCAATTCCTTCAAACAATTTTCTATACTTGGAAAATATATCAGAATTTGAAGTATCAATAGTTTTGGAACTCACTGCATTCACGGGCCCCACTCTTAATACATTAAGTTTTGTTGCAGCTTCTTTTCCTAACAAAGTTTGACAATTGCCTTTGACAACAACAAAATCAGCCCGACATTTACTTTCATTATTCAAAACGAAAACATTAGCAGTAAACGTACCTAAGACCTGAAGTGGTTTAGTACTTCCATAAGCGTAGAGTGATGGTATCGAGCATTTTCTCGAATTACACACAATTCTCTCACTCTTCAGCCATTCCCAAGTATTGCTTCCCATGAAATTTCGGCAAGCACCCGAATCAATTATTACATTCGACAAATTAACTCCTCCAACATTTAAAGTAATTATTCCATCATGGTAGGAATTGTGATCTCTCACGGTGAATGTAAACTCACTATTTTCGTCATTCGAACAATCAACACAATTCGTATCATTCAACCGCTTACCGTTTTTATTTATTCTCGGTTGGTTTCGGCATCGCTCATTATGTCCTTGTTGCCGTGCAGGTTTACCTCGAAATTTACCACATCGAACTTTGAAATGTCCCATTCTTCCGCATTTTGAGCATCGTTTACCTCTTGCTGGGCACATCTTATCCCTGGAAAAATGTCCGATTCGGCCACAAGAGTAACATTCCCTTTCCTTCCCTGTAACAGATGTATAAAGGCTTGGATTATTTACTAAATTCACCTGGTGCGATTCTGCGTCAGTTTCAATTGCTTTTGCCTGAAGATCAACAGCTTCCATTGCCCTTGCAATTTTCAGCAAATCACTCAATTCGAGATTTACCTTTTCGAGAAATCTTCGTCGCATGGAATTGGACCGACAATTATCAATCACTTGGTCCCGTATGTGATCATCTTCTTTATCATCGAAGCCACATGTTGTTGCACTTTGACGTAACCTACAAACAAACTGATCGACCGTTTCATCACTGGCCTGTTTAATTTGCCTGAATAAATGTCGTTCAAAAGGAATATTGGATTTCGGAGTAAAATATTCATCAAGTAAATTTAAAGTTTCGGTAAATGTTTTTTCTTCATCGAGTCCCGCTAAAGTATAAAAAATATCTTGTACCTTCACACTAGCGGTGAACAAAAGCAAAGCTTTCTTGGAGCTATCTTCCGTCGTTCCCTTGGCAGTCAAATATAATTTAAATGAACGTCTCCAACGTTGCCACCGTTGGGAAATACCGTGCGGGTCTCCATCGGAATCAAATGATTGCATCGTTCCAATGTTATTCTGCATGATCTTAGATGGCTATATTCCTGCTATATAGAATAGATCTGTTTCAATCAAAAAAGTTACCAACGATTTTCAGCAGGTCTTCGCCAATTGTAATTCGATATCTTCAATATCCTCGTCGCCAGTTGTAGTGTCTCGCCTCTATCTTCAATGTTCTTTATCTTGCTAAGCTTTCCCCAAGGCAACACACGATATTTGCACACAAAATAAGAGGCTTTTACTGCTACAATTCAGTATGCACAAAAGTAACTGATACAACTTAATAAACAGCGAATAACACCATACAATAGAACTAGCACCAGCCACGCCGTCAATGTCCTTTTGCTCCCCTTGACATATATCCTTGCGCATTTATATCGCGCAGGACTAAATCAATCATGCAATTCATGACCATCGAACCATGAACACTACAATGTCAGTACGGAAGAATTGGCCTTCAATACGATGTTGCATTTTTATTAAACAGAATCTACTAGTGAATTATTTGGTAGACTAACTATGTGTAAACGCTGCGCATATGGTATTTGCCAGTCTGACAACCTGTACGGTACCCCTGCCGTTCAAATGGAGTAAGATTTGTGCCTTTTCCGAAGCCACATATTGACCGCCAAAAAGCAATGAGGTGGATAAAAGAATGCAACAGGCCTCACAGTCAATTCATCCTAGGAAAAATTACCTATAATATATATTCAATATGTTAATTCTTATATGAAATGAATTTTTATACAAGCAATGCGTTCCATCATGCATTTTCATGGGGGCGATTAACCAACTGATGAATACTCTGACCCCATATCAGTTTCTTATCGCCCAACAAAAAAGTACCATCAAATTGTGAGGTATGGATTACTTATACCATAATTTAACTTTGGATCACAATTTAACAGGAAATATCACCAGATACTTCATTTGATACAGAGACATGGGAATCTGACAAAAGTGAGAAAGGATTGTCAAGGATCTAACCAGATCTGCCCCCAGACTCTTTAGTTGAAACTACCTCAAGTGCCGCTGATGAAAATGACAGCGCTTTGTCAGACAGCACAAAAATGTAAGCAAGCATCATCATCATCATTTTATTTTGGTTCTCTGGCATGAAACAACACAAAAAGCCAACATACAAACAAAATGCAGAGAAAACTGGAAGTCGAGCATAACTTAAAATAGATTTCAAAAAGTACGCGGCTACCCACCAGAAAAAGAAATAATAATAACAAAAGGGCACGAAAGAATTAACAAGATTCAGAATCGAGCAACACTTTTAACGTAATTCAAAATGAGAAAACACATACTTCCTCCAGCATTGGTGTCATATTTGCTAACTGTAAAAATGATGAATGAAGAAGGAAAATTAATATTAAAGACTTGGGACTTCATGCAGAATCTTTTACAATCCATTGGTGATAAAATGATGTTACTTTATGGAGTATGCTCCGAATGCATGCCATGTCCGGTGTGACCCTGGTGATAGCAATATCTTTTTTTGTGCGGACTGCAAAGTCACACCAAGCTGCTCCTGATACCAGAAGTTGGCCCTGCAATTTGTAGCAACTGTGGTGTGTGATAAATACTTATTTTGCATTTATCACTGTCATATAAATTGCAACTTGTTCATAATCATCTGATAACTTTAGAACCGAACAAAGTGGTGGGTGTTTGCCCATCTGACTATATAACAATGAGGTAACGTTAGTGCTCAGCGAGCGCAATTCTTCCATATTATCAGGAGATGAAACCAGACAGCTTTAATAAAATAACTCAGCAGTAAAAGCATTGTGATACATTATGTCTGTCACTGGAATTGTGAAATGAATTTAATTCTATTATTTTGACGTTCCATTGTTGTGCCTAAAAGCATATATCTGGTGTGTATTTTTATCCTATACAACACAATATCTGGAAAACTGTATAATTTGTAGTAATTTTTTTGGATTTACTTGCTTGTTCCTTCATCATATGTTTTTTATAATCTGTTATATTCTATTTCTACACTGAATGAATAAACTATATTGTAAAACCTATCTTTCAATAGTATATTTGCACTCATCAGGCTGAGCTAATAAATCTGTGTTTCTGTGATACGACATAAACTTAAGTGCCCTCACCGTGCCTAGCATGTACAAATTGCATCAGAGACTTGGTGACCATCCAGCGACACCACTATTTGAAGATGATGTGGTGGCAGAGACTCCTGAACTTATCTATAGCACGTGGCTTTGAAATCTAGCGTTGAACCAAGATGGACGACTTGAACCATCATGAATGAATCTGAAAAAAAATATTCACCTGTTCAAAATTACAGATTGCTGTAGTTTGTGCAATGTTTCCAGAAAATGTATTTAAAAGACTCTTGAAACTGCCCCTGCATTTCATTTGTTTCTATACTAAACCCGGCAATGTGAAGGCGGAATAACGTTAATAATAGATCACTTGACAATATGTTATAACTTCAGAAGCACGAAAATACCGCCATCACCAGTGACATGCCATTCGAAGGCTTTTAAAACGAGCAACTTACCACTCTATCGCCCTACACAAGCCTGAATATTTGCAATGTTTGTCTGAGCGATCAAAACAATAAAGGTCAAAGGTCGGGGAAAGGTCCATGGGAATACGGGGTCAAAGAGCAGCATGTCACGACGTTTTGATGAAATGCCTCGTGGCGTCGGGCTTAAATCAGAATTAGTTAAGTAACCGTTAAACTAGGTTTTTGATCTCCGGTTAACTTTCGAAGTTAAACCGAGTTCAACTAATCCGAGATTAGTCCTAATCCAGGTTTAAGTTAAGTGAGCTTTTTGATCTCCACCCTTATTGTCCATCGCTTTGTTCTCTCTGCTGGCGCCATAATCGTGCGCCGCGTGATAACGTGAGTTACGTCGTCACCGTAATCGTGAATCGTGCGTCGACGTGACCCGTAACTTCGACGAAATTAAATTACGTAATTTAATCGTATGAAACCACGAAGATACCAATGACATCTAAATATGGCAAACCTAATTGACTATAAATTAGCGGCAAATAAGGATACAATATTCATTCTGAAATCGATGAAAATATATTTAAACAGTGCACAACTTTTTTTGTAAAATTCTCCGGTCTATTTTGCTCATTTTCACAGAATTTTCTAAATAGCACTATAGTGGCCCGTAGCAGCGAAAGCGTGAAGGCTAGCATTTCGCAGGTCGTTAACATTGACATCGCAAATTTTGCTACAAAGGTTAATAACAAACAATTTGTTACCTTTGCTTTGACGTATACTTGTCCCACGAGTCCACGACATTCAAAAGTGAAAGAAGGTCATCTTCTATGACTCTTACATGAGAAGCGCACGACCCCCTCAAATCGTTGGTACCAGGGCAAAAATATTTAGATCCACATTTTTGAATACTGTGCCATGTGAAATCTCGGCAATTTCATGTGAAAGTTTTCCTCCAGGGATCGTGCACACAGAAAAATTGAATTCGCAGCTCTTTGAAATAACAACTTTCTGACAAAACAATAACACAAAATAATAATAAGATGTTAAACCTCAATATTATTGAGATCCGTAAGCGAAACACCTTCAACTTTTTGTACTGTTATAGTTTCACCCCGCAAATATCCTCGGAATGTATGCTTCAGTGTGCAATTTATTTCAAAGCGTTTGTGATGAAAATACTTTGACATATGAGTCGCTCGAATGCAAAAACATTCAGAAAGACGGGCGGCATAGCAAAGATACGTAAAATGCAGGAAAACGTGTTTTTTTCAGTCAGTTGTTGGCAGTGATATATTTTTTTATAAAAATATAACCATGAAATATAACGTTATTATATGATAAACTGTGCCTGGTAATATGGAAATAACCAGCTAATGGTTCCTCATTACCTTTGGTTTCTCCAAATTACGGCCATTGCTATCAGTCAGCAGTAAGACGTGCGGAAGATGGTTGGTACACGAAGAGCGAAGATATGTCGTTGGCTTCCCGCTAATGCCATTAGGATAGAAGACAGACCTGGTTCGGTATCCCGAACGCATATTTTGTAATATTTATTATAATTGGCAACAGAAAATAAAACTTTATCAATTACATAAATTTCTCACCTTAAAACTTGTTTTTACACCAGCTCCGAAAATACGTCAACTTTGGAACTCGAAGAACTCTTGTTTGTTTAAAAGTAGGCTTCGACCCACCGATACTCACCTTGTTTTTATACTCACGTGTTGCAGGGGAGGCTGTCAGGTGTTTTTTCTTTTTCTATAAAACAAAATAAAAGGTTAACAGAACTCCCGGCCTCAACGAAATATTCCCGTCACTAGGAGCACTCGGAGAAATGTACCTTGATGCACACTCATTGAGCCCTCCAGTGACGAGTGTCCCGTCTCTAGCAAGATAAAGAAGGGCCTAAAAATAAGTGACAGAGAAGAAAAATAACAACAATAAAGAGAATAAGTTATATCAATGCAAAAGTTGCCATTTTCTTGTTTAATTGTGTCCTTAGTCTTGCTGGTATATTTTACTACGATGGTGCATAAATTATATATTTCAAGTTGTTATATTTGACATATATAAGCAGATATAGTGCTAATAATTGAGATTAAAATAGGTGACTCGGGGAGATTATAGAATAGATCGTTATAACGATATTTAAATTTTATATATTACAACGATGTAATTGTTTTAAGTGCAGGCTCTTGATGGGCACCAGATAATCCCAGCCCTTCTTTCCACCATTTCATTAGACTTTGCTGCTGCTTTGGCATCCTTCAGGTTAATATGGGAAAAAGAAATACTAGTGTGGAAAATAGCGACAATATGAATTTACTGAGAAAGAATACTCAGTAATATTAAATTATTAAAATGGATTATAGGAGGGACTGCCAAAAATGTCCAACAGACAGATGAAAATGATGAGAGAAACGAATTTAAGTTAATCAGATAATCAATATTATATTTTTTAACAACACGTGATTTGGAGAAAATCCGAGATTTATTAGGTGGAAGAACGATTGAGGCTTCTGATGATGAGCTTCCCCGACTTCTTTTTTCGTCTCTTACAG